ACCCTTTCTTTTTTCACAACAGTTACTGTCAATGGCTGCAAAAGTTTGCAGTAAAAGACGACTAACGGGATCGGGTGGTCAGGCTCGCTGACTTGATTAATGCATGTATCATCGTATCCCAACTGCGTGGATCGATGCTCATGATGTCAATCACTTGATTCGATTATTTACAGACCGCCGTCATATAGCTGGAATATTGCTGAGTGCGGCCTTAAACAACAAACAAACAAAACAAAGTATTTGCTGACTGTCTCCGTGTTATTAAGTTATAGGTAAGTTAAATTTAATGTCTCATCGGCATTTGTTCAGCCATATAACGACTCTCCGTGCAATTGACAAGCCCGACCTATGATGTTGGTTAACATGAACATGTAGATTTACTGAGAATGAGCCTGTTGGTACAATTGGTTTGCCAGTGGAACCACCCGGAAATATGAATACGTGAATAAGATGAATACGTTTTTAGGCCTAGCTCATTGCATGACATGAGCAATTCTTCCTTTTTTGTGACTACTTAATGTGGCCATTTCACTGCATTCGACGCATGTCAAAAGAAGTGTAACTGTTGTGGCCCTGACCCAGTGGTTCGTGTATGTTTGGTTTAATAATGCCTGTTCTGAAAGTGATTTCATATTTGATAAGCCCGTGCAGTGTACCAATGAATGTCGGGAGATTTGTGGGTTTTCGTGGCCTTTAGAAGAGGGTAATGTGTTCTGGATGTAATTTGGACGAATGAAGCAACAGTGCAGAATGAGTGAGTGAGTTTTGGTTTTACGCCGCTTTTAGCAATATTCCAGCAATATCACGGCGGGGGACACCAGAAATGGGCTTCACACATTGTACCCATGTCGGGAATCGAACCCGGTCTTCGGTATGACGAGCGAACGCTTTAACCACCAGGCTACCCGACCGCCCCCAACAGGACAGAAAGAAGCACCAGTCGGAAATTAGTTTCGCGGGGTTTGAATAGTGAAGATCAACAGTGTGTGTTTTTCACCTCACTGTGTGTGCCAAACTCGCACCCTACGTCGTCGACCACGACACGGAACGAATTGTGGGTGAGGTCATGTTGAATTTCAAATCCCCTCCTGACAAATCGCAAACGATATGCCTTCGCCAAGTGCTGTCATCAAAGAAGTCAGGGTTATAGTCTGTACGTCAAAATCATTGCCAGAAACATCCGACATTCTACCATGAAATTGAAGATTATTTTATACTTTTCATAAAATCATACGTATGGCCTACATATGGATCCATTAAAATGACTTCCGATAACCCATCACAAATGTATATGCGTTCGATATCGGTACATTTAGGAGAGGAGCCTACAGTGATTTGAAATTTGAGGTCTTCTCACTGTAGAATTCATACCTATTTTAATTTGAAATCTGCGTTTATGAGACAACTGACATCTACATTCTACCATGACAAGAACCGGGTAGAGACGTGGCAATATTCCAGCTATAGGACTGGTCTGTAAATAATCAAGTCTGGATCAGAAAATCCAGTGATTGACCTCATGATCATCGATCCACGCAATTGGGATACAATGACATGCATCAACAAAGTCAGCTGTGACCACCCGATACAACAGTCGCCTCATACAAGAAGCATGGGGTTCCAGAAAACCTGATCTAACCCGGATCTTCAAGGGTCTTTAGTGAACTAGGTTTACACTCGTCTTCAGTACTAGTCGTAAAAGAGTGAATTTCTAAGATAAACTACTTCTGACTGAAACTTTACCTCACTTTCATCACTCAGTTGCTCCCTTAATGCAATGCAACTTCCTACACTCCAAGTTAAAGATAAGAACAAACATGGTACACAGGTAATTATTTATTAACATGTGATTATACGCAATTGCATTTATTCATGTTGTTTTTATATATATCACGGTCCAACCATGTACATAACAGTATAATCATTCACCCACTAGCTCAGTCAAACAGGCCCTCCTGAAGACATATGTTAATTGTTTAACATCCGACCTACACACTCACTTTACAAAATATAGACCAGCCAACTTGCATCTAGAATAACTGCACTATATTTCGCTAACTGTGGTTGAAAACAAATATGCCATCTCACATAATGCAACTAACGATGCTGGTGAAAGCTAGAAATTAGAGAAGCTTTGTAATACACTATAAACAGTAGGGCTAGTGTATAATGCATCATTACAAATCTTACACAGTAGGCATCGTGTATAATGCTTTAGACACACCTTACACAATAGCCCTTGTGCATTATGCTTCAAAACACCTTATACTGTAGGCCTTGTGTATAATGCTTCACAACACACCTTATACAGTAGGCCTAGTGCATAATGCATCATAAGACACCCTACACAGAAGGCCTTGGGCAAAATGCTTCAAAACACACCCTACACTGACGGCCTTGTCAATAATGCATCATCACACACCCTACATGGAAGGCCTAGTGAATATAGCTTCATAACACACCTTACACAGTAGACCTAATGCGTAATGTTTGTTTGTTGGTTAACGCCACACTCAGCAATATTCCAGCAATATGACGGCAGTCTGTAAATAATTAAATCTGGAACAGACAATCCAGTGATTGACATCATGAGCATCGATCCACCCAATTGGGATACGATGACATGCATCGAGCAAGGCAGTGAGCCTGACCACCTGATCCGTTATAATTGCCTCTTACCACAAGCATAGTCACCTTTTACGGTAGTGTATAATGCCTCATAAGACACCTTACATACTAACCCTAGTGCTTTATGCTTCAAAGCACACCTTAAAAAGAAGGCCTATTGTTTAAAGAACCCGCTAAAACATGGCTTTGTGTGACGGGTGGCAACCAAACAAGGCGATGGAGGGAGACGACATGATGGGTCGGCCATGAGGGTCATGTACTAGGCGATAAATCAAGGAGAAAGTGGATTGCTGCTGGTTCATGACAAAGATACATGTTTGTATATAGAGATTATCACAACCATAGACATGATCGACATACATCACAAATACAGCCAAGTGAACCCAGCAAAGGAGCACTTTATAGTGGCAGGTGGGCCAAGAAACACAATATAGGTACATGGGGCTCAATACATATTCTGATTGACCAAAGAACAGATAGTGTCTTATTGGTCAAGGAATACTATCTAATGTCACTTGACCTAAGGAACATTTCAGTGTGTAAAGGTACACTTTATAGTGTAATAATGGACCAATGAACGCTATTATGTGTAAGAATGTCCGCAAACCTTTCATCAAAACTGGACTGTTTAAAGTGAATATCTTAGTTTGAGCCAAATGAACATTTATATAGTATGACACTAGCCCACAGACCAGGGAACCAAAGCAGGAACTGGAACAAGAACCAGTTCACTGTTTAGGATTCACCAAGAACCATTCCATGTGGCCAAGGACCACCCTCTATTGCATGGGCCAAGACTGCTCTCTTGTACATCGTGCACGAAGAATATCTACAAACATTTAAGGTAAGCAAACAGAACTTCATAGACAAAAGTTTCTTCATTATTCTCCCTTTATGACATTAAAGACGCTTTTACAACAACTGAGCTTCAAATGTCAAGGCACATGGACCTACTGTGTGACAAGATATATATGTATATGTATTACACAAGCATGTGCTATGGGCAAACAAACTCTGTAGCCAAATGATTACTTATGTTTCTCTTATTTGCATATATATACACATGGATACCTTATTGTATGTACATTGAACAGTGTTGCAAAATTAAGTGATGATTTGTTTCCATATGTTGCATTTCTCCTTTATATCATAGCAGTGGGCAAGTCTCCTATACCTTATCTAGTGTAAACAGTTTCTTGAATAGCGCCACCAATATCTAGTTGTGCACAAACTCACCTATATTCCCTATTGTAAAGAGTCTCTTGAATAGCTCCACCAATTTCTAGTTGTGCACAAACTCATCTATATTCCCTATTGTAAAGAGTCTCTTGAATAGCTCCACCAATTTCTAGTTGTGCACAAACTCACCTATATTCCCTATTGTAAACAGTCTCTTGAATAGCTCCACCAATATCTAGTTGTGCACAAACTCACCTATATTCCCTATTGTAAACAGTCTCTTGAATAGTTCCACCAATATCTAGCTGTGCACAAACTCACCTATATTCCCTATTGTAAAGAGTCTCTTGCATAGCTCCACCAATATCTAGTTGTGCACAAACTCACCTATATTCCCTATTGTAAAGAGTCTCTTGAATAGTTCCACCAATATATATTTGTACACAAAGTGTATTCTCTAGTGTTGTTTTAGGTAGTGTAGCATATTGTTGTTTCAGGTCGTAAATCATATTGCTGGTTCGGGTAAAACAGCATTTTGTTGTTTCAGGTCGGACAGCATATTGTTCTGTTTCAGGAAGTAGATTTAATCTTGTTTCAGGTATAATAGCATAAATTGTTGTTTTAGGCAGAATATTGTCTAGTTTCATTAAGCCTGTTTTTTTTGTTAGCTCTGATAGCAAATACAACTGGTATAAAACTTAAGCAGATAGGTACATTAAAAAAATCAACTGACATCATCACTGATGGTTTGCTCTGTGATGTAGTGAGTGAGTGAGTTGGGATTAACGCCGCTTTTAACATTATTCCAGTTATATCACAGCGTGTCAGCTTAATGTGGGAGGAAAGCCCGAAGTGATGCAGGTCTCAGACGTTTACCACTTCGGTGAAACCCACGAGCACGGGTATGGTGCTGACAAACCTAGAAACATAATCGGGGTGAACCGGGCTTCGAACCCACAATCATAGGTTTCTGGCGTGTCCAGGGGATGCAACTCTGAACAGCGAATCATGGCGCCTTAGACGACTGGGCCACCTGTGCCCCCGCTCTGTGATGTAAGCTGTAAACCCAACATGAATAGGGTGTGCACCTATGTCCTCTTCATGCTTCCTGCCCAACAGGAGAAAGACATACAATAAACAGTAACGCCAACAGAAACAACATCTGCAAGCGATAGACAACAAATACCAAAATCTGTTTATCTGTGTACTGAATATTCATTCATACTGAAAATAGTCAATCTGACAGCAGCTCATTAAATCTCCAACATCATCATCAAGATATGTCTCTTGCCCTTATACATGCTCAACAATACAGCAAAACATTGTTCACTCAAAGCCTTGATGGCCATCAAAATATGGAGTTATCTATAGTTTGAGACAAACATGTAATTTTAAATCCTAAGATAATGATTCCTTATGTGTTTGTTTGTTATTCAATGTCACATTCAGCAATATTTCAGCAATATCATCTGTTGATAATTGAGTCTGGACTTGTCAATCCAGTGATTGACATAACGAGCATTGATCCACGCGATTAGGATCGTTGTCATGCATCAACAGTCAGCAAGCCTGACCACTCGAACCTGTTGGTCGCCTCTTACGACAAACACAGTCGCCTTTTATGGATAGCATGCGTTGCTGAAGACCTATGGATCAAGTGGAAAAAGAAGAAGAAAAGGCTCACTTCATACAAAATAATACACCACTAGTGAACACACCTGACATCCTGCCCATACTGTTTCAGATCCCGACAAGTTCAGCGTACTTTAATGAACATTTATATCCTAACAGTACATCAGAAAAAAACATTCAAAAGGTTTTGTGGCTAATCACTAAGGTGGCCTCTCGATCTACAAACAATTCATTCATAAACAAAATAAGTTAAAACAATAATATATTTTGATTTTTTGCTAGAAAAATTGAGTGATATGCAAATCCTTGTGAAACAAAATTCAACTGCATTCTACCTTGATGCAGTTCATAAAAATAAATAACAATTCATCACACCCATTATGAATCTGAATAACAATTCTGTTCATTGAAATGTGAATAATAATAGTCATCAATCAAACAATACACAGGAAAAATATCAAACTTCACTTAAACATGCTTGTAAAAAACTCTAGTAAGTACAAATATACTGATATTTATACCATGATATATAAATATTAAACAATATAGGGACAATTATATACATCTATAGCACAGTCAGGTTCAAAGTCTACATGACACAAGCGATGGTCATTTCTCAGGTATATGGATAAATATAATAAAAATTGGGGAAATGGGAACAAAATTGTTTTATTAACATGTTAAATGGAATAGTCCCACTGACCAATAGGCAGACTCTTGGACACAGCAACCTTACGGGTTGTCAGCTGTAACGCAATGCTCCCAGGTTATCAGGTTATTGGTACAAACATCTCTAATTTCAAAAACCTGGTCTTTTAAATAAATAATAGAATTTCTCTTCTTTTTTCTATTATTCAACAAACCAAATTTTAACTGGTTTTACAAGGACTTGAAACAAAGCCTTCAAGAGTTACACCCCTTTAAAATGCCCCGAAAGATGCCACACATAAATACTCTTTCATGCCTGAAAGACATAAGTTATTGTTGCCATTGTCTTAAATGGGAGGGGCGGTTGGGTAACCTAGTTGTTAAAGCGTTCGCTCGTCACACCGAAGAACCGGGTTCGATTCCCGACATGGGTATAATGTGTGAAGCCCATTTCTGGTGTCCCACGCCATGATATTGCTGGAATAATGCTAAAAGCGGCGTAAAATCAAACTCACTCACTCACTCACTTAAATGGGAAGTTGCTGCAATGAAGCCTGTCAGCACAATCAAGATGAACATACTGTTTAGATATTCTTATTGATACTTAATCAACAATAATGAAAGGCAAATTAATAGGATGTATGTACAATCAAATTTGAACCTAACTGGATAATATTGTTCACCACTTAATAGTTATATATTTCAAAAGAGAAATGTATTAATTTGGAGGCTGTCATCAAACTGGAATACACTGGCATACTATACATGTTTAGTTAGTAATGGCAACCACACAGTCAAAACTTTTACATACTAGTCAAAAGAAGGTACAGAAAACCCCTTTTTTTCATGACTATAGTTAATCTTCCATGGCCATGACAGGTTAACTATTGTCAAATGGTCGGATGTTATTTAACTTCTTTTGAGTAGAATACAGAAGTAGCGTCAGAAATAGAACTAAATTGAAATCCTAAAGAGTTTGAATTTTGTCGCACGCCCTTGCTCCGACCTGCATTCTCACACGAGTCAGAGCTAGAGCAGTGATGCATTACACAGAAAAGCCTTACCTGGCAACGATGACTTGTCACAACACACTATGTTTTGTTCCATGTTCAGCGAAATAAAGTATAAATGTGATTTTCAAGTCATGCTTGGATGGCTAAGGCCAAAAGCCAAGAAGGAATATAAAAAGTTAAAGAACACCCACATTTTTCATATGACTACAGTTAGTCTGTCACAGCTGGTGGGTATTGCAACACACAACCTTCCACTTGTGGGGGTTCCTTAACTTGTTTTGAGAAGTATATATGTTACAAATCTTTGTCTTTCTGTGAATGCAACATCTTTATACATGCTGATAAACATTTTCAAAAATCAATTTATTTCTATTTCCGACAGTTCTTAATGAGGTGGATGTTCCCTTGTGCGAATCCTGAAACAGGAGTCGGAGTTGGAGCAATATGATACCGACCGAGCAATTTGACACAAGAATGTGGGTGATGATGATGATGATGATGATGATGATAACAACAACATAATTACATATAACAGTGATAATCTGAAGGACACACACAAAAAACACTTGTATACTACAATATGTAAAGTCAATGATAAACCACATCAATATATACATGTCATGTTTGAGGCAGCCATTCGAGATTTAGCATGGACAATCCTCGTGGAAAATAAATCTTTGTATCTCTGTATGCAGGGCGTACAGAGTGGGCCTGTTGTTCAACACAGTACACAACTGGACAGTCAGAGGGAACAACACAAAACTGTACCAAATCATTCGGATGGACATACAAGAGCTCTCAACATGCTCAAACTGGTGATCAATCTATGGCTGCATCATCAATATCTTCATACAAGATCTGATGATAAATCTAAGGCAGCAAGAAAAATCATCAATATTGGTATGCAGGAGGTCTTACTACATCATCAATATTGGTATGCAGGAGGTCTTACTACATCATCAATATTGGTATGTAGGAGGTCTTACTGCATCATCAATATTGGTATGCAAGAAATCTGAATACTTATACATCAGACATCTTGCAGTATTTTCAACAGGAAAAAGTCCCCTATACCCCCACCTTCCTCGTATACCTGCAGTTGTACACAGGGACACAGTATCATATAGCACATGGCATCCTCCTTTAACCAGTGTATGTATCTCCACTCTATTAGGACTCTTACTGTGGATAGATCCATTTGCCACCACTTCCTGGATTGGGTCGTGATGTCACCAACACTGTCTTCCTACTAACTGGGGGCGGTCGGGTAGCCTAGTGGTTAAAGCATTCGCTCGTCACGCCGAAGACCTGGGTTCGATTCCCGACATGGGTACAATGTGTGAAGCCCATTTCTGGTGTCCCCCGCCGTGATATTGCTAGAATATTGCTAAAAGCGGCGTAAAACCATACTCACTCACTCCTACTAACTGGGAACAAAAACTATCTTGCTCACAGTCTTGATTTTCAACAACTCATCAAACTGACCCTTCTGAACAAGATTTTGGCATCAACTTAAATTCAAAACTGCGGCCTAACACGAGCAAGCCAATTATCATGATACTGTCTTAACAAAAGCAGCTTAATAACAAATCAGAAGACTGTCCACTATCAACAGGACCCTACTGTCTTTGAGGTGGAGTGAGCGAGTTGTGTTTAATGCTGCTTTGAACAGTATTCCAGTTATAATACAGCGTGTCAGTTTGATGTGTGAGAAAAGCTCAAAGTAACACAGGTCTTAGATGTTTACCTCATAGGAGAAACCCAGGAGAAACTATGAACATAATCAGGGCGAACCAGAAATCGAACCCACAATCATCCGTGGGGCTGATGTTCCCAAGGGACACAACTCTGCACAGTTAATTGCGACGACTGGGCCCCCCTATTTGAGATGGAACACAAGATGATGAGATTGTTTGTTTTAATCATAACGGAACAAAGAAATTTGATTGGGTGGCTATTTTTAGCATTGTGTCATTTACTCAGGACAAAACCATGGTGGCAAATGGACAGAGGGTGTTTATCATCAAAGATTGAGATACAATACATTGGATGATGCAGAATATCAGCGACCTTTATCTCATGAAAACAAAAAATACTTTTCTTAATTGAGCTCATTCAAAACAAATCTTTGGAACACAATTCAACTACCAGTGTCATTCGTCAGTACAAGATGCATATTTCCGACGTAATCTTTGTAGGTCGTCACCAACCATTTACTCACATACAATGATATGAGAAAGCTAAGGTCAGCATAATTCTTGAATTATTAATTTCAGAAGTCTTTAAAATATGAAATTCATCTTCTCTGTTAGTAATGACTGGTGATTGAAAATTGTATCCAAATGAACTTGACATTTCCTGGAAATCAGACAAAACATAACCATATTGAGACAGTGTCTTAGATTATGTATGTATACATACTGGCATCTGTGTTACCATGGTTACAGTCAAAAGTAAAACTTCTGATTTATCAGTGTCAAAAGTTTCTTTTCAGAAGAATTGACGTTTATCATTTGCTAATCAAATAGCATAAAAGAATCCCCCAAATTGGAACATGAATCATCTATCTTATTATTCTTAAAGGAATTTGCTAAGACAATAAGTCTTTACCGCTAGAACATGAAGTAGTTTGTTCACAAGACTCTGGCTAGTTGATGACTTTGACAGTGACATTGATCTCTACTGTGAGTGAAAAATGACCGATGGTAAATAAGGTGTACATTGTTCATCATTTCCTGATAAAAGATAGCATTGTAGTCATGGGGACACGATGATGGATACAACTTAAGATTTCTGACTTTTGACCTCTGGTGACCAAGTGATGACCTTGACCTTTCCTGGAAAATACGCAAAATGATCGAAATCAGATGGAGAACCTGGCCCAATAGAACATGTTACTTTGTGTTAATACTGACTTGAATTAATTACTATTTCATGATTACAGTACAATTGCATCATTCACTAGCCATAGGCTCAACAGGTTTAGTATAATTTGATCTTTCTGTCAAATCGTGAAAAATGTAACAAAGGTGAAATATCTTAAATGTGAAAAGGCACTTCTAGACCACTAGTAAATGGAATGTTTCAAGGAGATGTTTTGGACCAAAATATACGGAAATTCTGAAATAATGTTCATAATGTGATTATGTTTCCCTTTCTTTGAATTAATTAGTTCAATCTCACATCTTAACATGCTTAAGTTTGATCTTGAAAATGCCAAAAATCATGACATGAAAGCAATCTTAATACAAAGTTATTAAAACCAATCCATCAATCCTGTTCCTAAAAAATTGAAAATATTACATACCAAAATGTACCATTGCACCAACATGTCCAAATGGTCAACATGTGTGAAAAAAGTAATACTTTCTGATACACCGACTCACAAAGCTTGTTTGTGGGGGATTACGATCTGTATTCAACATGTTCAATATATCTCTCTACTTGTTTTTTCTCAACATGTGTTTACATGACAAATAATCTGACGTCCAATACTCACACATAAAAACATGAGCTTAATAAGTTTGAAATCGAAGGAACTGATATTATATGTACAAACAAGGGAGGACTAAATTGGTAGAACACACTGGGTCTGGGAAAATAACATGAAAAATAAGAAAAACAGACGATTATTCGTGGATCTTAGGTGAAGTAATTGTACACTCAGTACAAGGATCAGTGGAGAATCATGAAACTAAATATCACAATCTGGCCCTATTTGATTTGCACTGAGGACGATGCAAGTGCACTATTTCTCAATTGTGTTTCACATTGTACTTCAGCTGAGGTTATTCTGGTTGTCCATAGAGCCAATGAACTTCTGACAATTAGCCATAACACAGTATTTGAATGAAATTACAGATTTTCAGAGCTATATCTTATTCCTATTGTTGGTTAGCATGGTTAGATAAGAAATATATTCTATGACATGATTATATGGGAGATTATCCCCCATCTCCTCATGTTGGTGAAAGCATTATACTAATCAGGGCAAATTACAATCACATTATTACCATGGTTACCAACTACGTCCTCTCCAGGTTCAAGGGCTGAGTTTCAATCAGCGGAAAATATTCTTTGATTAACATGATTAACATTACATAAATATACAGTTGCACACTATAACAAATACACTGGCCATCTAGACAATTCCAGCAAAAATTAATCAGGACCCATCCAGTAATTTCAACTTGAGGTGGTTTGGGTGGCTAGAGGAACTTATAGAATGCTTATCCTTGTGTGAAAGTTCAGCTATAAGTAAAATATTTTAACACATTCAAATATGTGAAAGATAAGTAATATTGTTCAAGACGGATGATTTTGTTGTCTAATAATTTTCTGTGGGACAAGTGACGTTTCTGTAGACATTGTCCTCATGGCTGAAAATAATACATATGTCAAACCCTGAGTTGGGCAATGTGAAGCACTACTGGGCCCTAATCAGACATGGTTTAAGTTGATGACTGGACCAAGTGAGAAACCATTCCCATTGGACTCGTCACTCTGTCCGAGTTCCACTGGCTGAAGTGTCGGCACAGGCCGGATACGATGGTCCGAGTTGGACACCACCAGAGCAGAGGAGGACAGGCTTCTCAGAGGAACAAGTTCGCTCAGAAGATATGCTGATGTCGAATAATGTACATTGTCAAATGTTGGAGGCATGGTGATGGACCGAAGGTCTCTCTCCAAGGTGTCTGATCCAGTGGAATCAGTTTCCTGCAAGTCAGACATTGGAGACACTCTACCAGCAGAGTCCCAGTCCTTGTGAACCTCGGCGTGTAGCACGGTCTGGGATCCATTCAGGCTGTTCCCACACACAGTGGGCATCGATTTACTTTTGTTCTTTGACTGGCTGTATTCCTGATCCACTTCTATGTCCGACTGCTCAGACTTGTGTCCTTTACACGACAGCCTGCCATCAGGATGGGAGTGTTTTCCACAGAGCACACATGCTATTGAGTCAGAATCACGGAACTTCTCAGTGTTTCGGAAGCTGTCGTAACTCTTAGACACATTCACTTGGTTCGATGACGTGTGAACAGTGAGGCGGCTACTCAATGATGAGGGCAGGGAGTTCTGGCGGCTATACAAAAATAGGTTCACCTGTCCAGTATCTTTCCCACTAGATCTTCGCGGAAGTGTGTGCACCTCAACAGCTGCATCCACACAGTTAGTAATAGAAGGTGTCACATGTTCTGTGCAGGTTGGGTCCAGTAAAGGTTGTTCTTGTGAGTTGTGGCGTCTGTGGCGAGACTTTGACTTAATCTGTGTTGGTGCCGCCTGCTGTAATCTGTCCTCTACCCAGTTGGGGCTGCTCTGAAAGTAATCCTTGGCTTGTTCTATTGCCACGTACAGTTCAGCACCAACCTCTGACTTATGGTAATTACTCTCAGACACCCCTGGGTAGGTGGCCTCGAACTTGTTATCATCGGGCTCCAGGCCATGCAAATGGTTATACAGTTTATTCAGGTCCTTCATGAGACAGAACTTGGTCCCAGTTTCAAGTTGCGGAGGAATATCACTAGACATAGAGTAATCCATGAACGCAGTGATGAACTTCGACATCGGCAATCCCTTCCCCCTCTCAACTCGCATCTTCTCACCGACATAATCCACAGCAACAGCAAAGTAATCTGGCAACGTTCGGCTAGCCTCGCTTTTAAATCGCACACGCTTCTTCGAGCACCTTAATCGAGCACCAACGGAGCACACAACCATGATGTAGTCAACTTCCTGTAGCCGTTCTATCAACCAGTCATCCAGACCTCTCTCATGGATGATCTGTTCCTCAAACAGGTCCAGCACAACATTACAGCAGCACACCTCCATGAGGAAACCCGCGAGTGACTGGACCACCTTCTCATGCATGGGGCAGTCGTAGGAGTACAGCACCAGCACGCCTGGCAGCTGCTTGTTGCTGATATCTGAAACACACAATGACATCGTTTCATTCTTGTTAGATCAAGCACGAAGTACTCTTATCACCTGCCAATATGACATGTCCGGTTGTGTGAAAGGCAAGAAATATTGTACGGTTTTCTAGATATGCTCTGGAAAGCAGCACTACCATCTTTTTCAGTCTAAATCAAAGTCGTTGCCATAGTAACTCGAAAAATAAATTTTCAAAAATCAAAAACTATCAAAAGGCACCAGTTCTTCACTAGACCTATCTATGTGCCAAGTTTGGTTAAGCTATCTCTCATGGTTTTTGAGTTCCTCTTCAGAAACAAAACATGATGGGAGTGTGTAAGGATTTACACCATTTTCAGCAATATTGATGCAGTATGGTGAGAAACAAGGGAGAGAGTTCTGTAGATAAACAACTCCTTTATTACAATGCTTAGGGATAGATGTGACAATCACTTGTTGGATAAAAGTGTTAGTATCTACACCAAAACGTTGCATTCATTGTAATAAAGAAGTTGCATATACATAGAACTATCTCCCCTGTTCATCATTCAAACTTCTAAACTGCCACTTGAAGAAATCTGGTGAGGGACACCACAAATGGGCACACACATTGTACCCTTGTGCTAAATCATACTCTAGGCTTTGGCATGATCAAGTGAAAGTGTAAACCACTAGACTACCCCACCATCCTGTACAAATTTGAATAATGAATAATAATTACAGCTAATGAGATTTATCACCTTTATTGGGAAATATTTCATCCATTTATATTTGTTTTGTTATATACTACTGTTTTTAAAAACGTGACTTTCCGCGTTTCCGCAGAGATATCATATCCCTGCATATGAGAACCAGGGCACCATTGTACACACATGGCTATTTGAATCAGGTCTTCACTGTGACGATCCAACACTATGTCAAGACCCAGTACATATTGAGTGAGTGAATTTGGTTCAATGCCACAGTATTTCAGTTGTATCACACAGTGACGCAGGTCTCTCACATTTACCACTTATACATTAATAAAAGGATTGGAGTAGTGCTATGAATTTGAACTAGCCTCGACTATCATGATAGCTGATGTGTCTGTTGTGTGACTTACCGATAGAGATGGACCGCAGACTGGCAGCTCGTTCACGTCCAATAGTCCCTGCAACAAGCATTTGTACATGAAGTATTTACAAGGTCACACGAGCAGTCAATGTGATCCGAGTGAGTGTGTGAGTGAGTTTATCATGTTTAGGCCGCTTTGAATAGTAATTAGTATTCAAGTTGCCTGTCAGCTCAAAGAGGGAGGAAATCCCAAAGTGATGCAGGTCTCTCACATTTAGCACCTAATAGAAACCCATGAGCACTCCTATGGTGCTGCCAAATAATCGGGGAGAATCGGGAATCGAACCCACGACCCCAAGGTTTCTGGGGCAACTCTGCACACAATGTATTCCAAGGTCAGGTGCGTCTCACCACAGCCTGACATCATAACCACTAGAACATGTCCAGAGTCTGGAGAACTTTCAGTCCAGCAAGTCTAACTTGTGATTTCTCTGTGATTCTACTTAAACAGGCCAATAATTTTTACATCATGATCAGCATGTTAAGAACCTGGCACATTTTCAAAGGAACCTGACATAGTAAATCACACAGACTGCAACAAATGGTTACACCCTGTGTGATTTACTGTGTCACGTTGTAAATGTGCTGGATTCTTATCAATACAATGCAAACTTTATGGGGATTTTGTCTTTGTTTGTAATTTGTGTGGTTTTTCTATAAGTGTGTCTTGAATGGGCGCCATCATTTTGTTTGAAGCAAATGCAAGTGATATGAGAGATTGAATCTGATTGGTCAATAGGAGGACATGGAAGGGACACAACTGAACTCGTAATAGACACTGGTGCCTGGAAATTCCAGTGTAGTTCCACAAGAGTGAACTGGACTCTTATAGTCAGTTAACTCCCCTCAGGAAGATGATATCCACAGAAACCCCACATCCTTCTATGGGACTGATAACGTCACGGTGAGATGAAAACAAGCAATGAACATAAGACAGAGCCTTGACCTACCATGGTGGGGATCCTGGCGCCTCCTCCAGAACTTGAATAACAGGAAAAACAAGGCTATCAGGCCCACAATACCAATCACACCAACGACTGTGCCAAGAATGATCTTGAGGGCGCGGTTGTACTCCTCCGGGTCTGGGGAGGCCTCAATGATAGGACCCCCAGCTGCAACGACATGAACAACGTGCAACATGTTATCAGTAGGACATTGCAGACAATAAACATGGTAAACACTTGAGTCTTCTACCACTGCAAGCATTACATTACGGGATGGTTCCCTATCATTACAAATGCATGGTGTGTACGGCCACAATAAATTAATTGACTTTTATCCCTCCCCATCCAACTATCAAACATCCTGCATCATACAGTATATTCCCCAAGTCCCTCCACTCTAAGAAAATTGGTGTGCCTTCCCTTGTTTCTTCGCTTCTTCAACAATACCTAGGTCCTACCAAACATTCCTGCTTTGTGTGAATGACATCCATGAACAGTTAATGTCCACAGATGTTTTGAACAGTTTGTTGAGATAAACAAATCATTATAAAGGTGTCTTCTGTCTATCTCTTTTTTAATTTTGATGAAAATCTAATAATTAATTTATTGTAGATAAACATGGATAAACACATGTTAAGGCTTTTATTTCTGTGACATTACGATTCAATTACACTCACAAGTATTCACAAGTTAGTCAACTTCATCATGTTCGTGTGCATTGCACAAATCCCTCAACAAACGTGCCAACAGTCTCACCCGTGTAACAGACTTGTCACACAACCTCATTCTCCAATAACACAATGAAGCACGCTATTAAATTACAGCAGCGTTTCAGACTGAATTCAGTACTATGGACACAAATCACTTATTAGCTGTGAAAATGATGTGACACAAACTAGAATTATAGCACCAGTGTATTTATATACCATTATTTATTACATCAGGAATTGAAGTATGATAACATGTAAAATAACACTAAAGTACACACGGAAATGAAAAAACCCTGTTTTTTCGACCTCAGATCTTAAATAAATGCAGTTAATATACAAAATATGTAAATATTCAAACAACTAAATTAGTACTAATTGGGCCGTGGCACAAATACAGCGTATCAAATGTTTTTATGCCTTTTTACACGTAAAAGTGTGTAAAAATGTGAATAAAACAGACTATTGTGAAACAGGGCATAACCAGGTGTAAGTTGATCAAGGTGACCTATGACACCTTGACGACAGGTGAGAACAGGTGCATAATGCCTATAGTCTGTTTCTGCTATGTCAATTTGGACTTAGTTTTATTTTTGAATGTTGAAAGTGCCGACAAATTACCTCCTGTAAAGTACATTTTGTATTGTTCACTGAGATCAAACTAGCAAATCCAGACTAGTACTTTTCGAGTTGTTTTGTTATTTCGTACTTACAGCTACGTAACACTTTGTGTCGATTTTTAAATTGAGAAAAACAGGTTTTTTTCATTTCCGTGAGTACTTTAATTGCTTGTTTTCTTAGGGGTTAATCACACAGGCCGGCTAATAGCCAGGGACAGTGCTGTATGTAACTGAGAGAACTAAAAGGGTATCTGTGCCTTCCTGTTACAGCACAAGTTTACATGTTCAGGATATCTGAAAAATACTTTCAGGCATATTTTACCATTTGTTGATCAGAAAAAAAATAATTATTCAGTATGATAAACACCACAGGATGATAATCAGTATTTACAGCGGTGGAAACTATCATTTATAATCCACTGGTCCTCATAGTGATAACATGGAGCAAAACTCTAACAATGTTAAAAGTGGCAAATTTCTTCTCGTCCTTATGATACCTTAACTATTGGGCAATTTGGCAAGGACTACAGGACTAGGGCCAATTTCTAACCCTACTTTTGACAATATTTCAGCTATATCACTGCGTCACACAATCAATACTGCCCTCCTGACTTCAGATATCGCCCCTCAAGTTTGGGTCAGCTGAGATAGGGTTTATTTCAGCCCTAAATCTGGTGACAGGCCATTGTGGCCTTCTTGACACACGACTTGTAGGTTGTGATGTATGTTCAGACCATACCATATTGTCTTGGGTATAATGCACACTTTTGTCCATGCTGTGTCAAAGGTGTGTATCAAACATGCATTTTGCTTTGTTTGTTTGTTGTTTAATGCCGCACTCAGCAATATTCCGGCTATATGACGGCGGTCTGTAAATAGTCAAGTCTGGACCAGACAATCCAGTGATTTACATCATGAACATCGATCCATGCAATAGGAATCAATGACATGCATCAACCAAGTCAGCGAGCCTGACAACCCGATCCCGTTAGTGGCCTTTTACGACAAGCATGGGTTGCTGAAGATTTATTCTACCCCGGATCTTCACGGGCAATCAAACATGCAAGCAACATGAGTTATGCGTATATATTCTTTCACCATGTCCACACTGAAACCACTTGCATGTTGACATCACAAATAGCGTGTCAAGAAATATGGTATGCTGCAGTATGTAATTAACAATTATACACCTTACCCAAGGTCGCGATTACAGCTGTACATTTAGAAATTTGCACCTGATACGCTGTGTGACTTTGTGACGATTGATGCTACAAATTGCTTTTGACATCTGACAAAATTAAGTATCCATCTGTCTAAAATGTCGATATGCTTTTGGTACATTAGTTTGTTTGTTGTTTAACGCCGCATTCAGCAATATTCCAGCTATATGACAGTGGTCTGGAAAAAATCAAGTCTGGACCAGACAATCCAGTGACATCATGATTCACGCCATTGGGATACAATGACATACATCAACCAAGTCAGCGAGCCTGACCACCCAATCTATGACAAGCATAGTGGCCTCTTACGGCAAACAAGGTTTGCTGAAGACGTATTCTACCCCGGATCTTCATGGGTCTTTTGGTACTTTTTGGTACATTAACTTTGGCTGCAACATGCAGTATGACATGCAGTATTCTACATAAAAATATGTACACAGACGGTGAAAAGTTTATTTTATCTTCACTTTCAAAGAGTCAACCATTATCTGAGCATGGCTAAACGAAAGGCTGAAAAATATTCAAATGTTTTAAGACTACTTTAAAAAAGCACCTATAAACATGATAAATATATTGTTCTGTGTTTTACAGGAATATTTATAACGGTGTTGTGTGCAGATTAAAGCTGCAGTTAGCAAAGTTTCAGTGGCCTGTAATCAAATCAAGACCAGATAAACTAGTGATTGATATCTTAAGCAATGCCCAACATTGTGCGGTTACAAGGACACACAGATATCTACCAAGTGGCTGAGTCGGACAACTGCACTCTGGAGACCTACTCCAACCCCAAATTGTTTAATAATAACATTGAACTCAGACATATGACATCACCGTTATCGGAGGTAATTCATACACAACACAACACACTGCTGCTGCTGCGTTACAGCTACTCATACATTAATGGGAGTGTCTTGGTAGTGTGATGGTCTGTCCATGTCACCATTTTTGTCAACTGCATGTAACAGTTTAATGCAGGATTTCCATAAACATCAAATATAAATTACGACTATTAATCATAACAGAAGATCAGATGCAGTTAACCATGAATCACAGTGAGTGTAAACCACATTACCCTGTTATGTCTATTTGCATGTTTTTCAAGGATATAATTTCCTCTTTTCTAAAAGCTTATTCATTGTCATCACAATCACCATCTCTGCAGCCAGTGGGGCGTACAATAACTCACTTCCCTCACTGTGCACATAATTAAATGTGCGCGCTGTTTCGCATCACTACCCTTATGCACCCGATAAACAAGCTCCTTGCCCAGGTCTACACTTCCTTATGACATGTTCAAGTTATGAGATTACTCACGGTTGCGGGGTTGTTGGGTACTCATGGACACCTTAAAATCTGAAATAAATCACAGAATTACTAAAACTGACAAGGAAAGACTGGATCCACAAATACACATTTGTCACCTGAAATTCACTACTTCTGTATATCCTGAAGTGTGACAAGAGGCACATACCACCACCTACCTCTCACTAGTGCTTACCACTGCTTACCACACACTAGTGCTTACCATTCTCACTCACCACTGCTTAATGCTCTCACTCACCACTGCTTACCACACACTAGTGCTTACCATGCTCACTCGCCACTGCTTAATGCTCTCACTCACCACTGCTTAGCACACTTACCACTGCTTACCACACACTAGTGCTTACCATGCTCACTCACCACTGCTTAATGCTCTCACTCACCACTGCTTAGCACACTTACCACTGCTTACCACACTCGCCACTGCTTACCACACACTAGTGCTTACCATGCTCACTCACCACTGCTTAATGCTCTCACTCACCACTGCTTAGCACACTTACCACTGCTTACCACACACTAGTGCTTACCATGCTCACTCACCACTGCTTAATGCTCTCACTCACCACTGCTTAGCACACTTACCACTGCTTAATGCTCTCACTCACCACTGCTTAGCACACTCACCACTGCTTACCACACTCAACACTCACTACCATGCATCACAGCAAAATACAGATATGGATACACAGATCTACCATTCTATCTGGTTGAAGGCATCACAGCAAAATAAAAACTATCATATAAAAATATGGATACACAGATCTACCATTCTATCTGGTTGAAGGCATCACAGCAAAATAAAAATGACCACATATATATGGATAGACAGATCTACCATTCTAGCTGGTTGAAGGTATCACAGCAAAATAAAATTTATCATATATAGATATGGATAAAAAGATCTACCATTCAACATTATGTTCAACTGATGTAAGAAAACAACTATGACTATGGATAAACAAGTCAACTGATCTGTATGTCGCAAGAAATCACAGCAACTTTCGCAATAACAAAATGGAAAGTAAAGGATAAGTAACATTACTCACTGGAGGCAGTGTTTATTCACGACACAGGACAAACTGACATCACAACTCACCACACAATTTATAGCCACAACTTTATAACAGGACATGAACTAAATACAGACATCACACGTTACCTGGTGCCTCCTACAGCTGCTGATACATAAGAGGGCATTTATCCATCATACTGACACTGCCTTATACACATCTGGCCCTTACTAAGGATTATTGTCCATTGATACAGGTGTTATGTCCCTCTATTACTGTCCCTTCATAGGCCACCCCATTATAACACTGATACTGGTAGTTTGACAATTACAAATAGGACTAACAGTTAAAGGAATCAAATATCTTGCTTTCGTACATTTTTACATGTTCGTATTCTTTTGTCCATACTTATCTGTTTATGGCCTGTGTTTATGCTTGTAACAATGTTGCACTATAAAGAGGAAAATCTTAACATTGGTGAAACAAACTTAATGGTGATAAATTTAAACATACCGTTTTCGACGTAATAAGCGCCCAGGGCACTCTCAAAATGAGAAATAGGGGGCTCTTATTACAATATTATTTTGGTGAAAAAAACAGAGTTGAAAGATAAATTTCATGGTTTATGCTGACAGCCTGAAATGTTTTTGTACGACAGATATATTTTTCCAGAATTTAATTGCCCATAATTAAGGGTGCATATAACACACGAGTGCGTATTATACGAGATTATATAAGTCTGGTGTACATTGGGATGTAAGGGGTGCTGATTGGGATTGTTCACTAGCCAATATCTTTGCAAATGTCGTCAAGGGCGCTTATTAGAGCGGGGCACTTATTACGTCGAATACGGTATGTGAAAAAAACAGTAGATTGTTCTCAAATTCAAAACACCCCCAACGGGAATATACAAGGCCTGCCTCACCTAAGTCACATACCTTATTATGTATGCATCCTTGCATTTCTTCGGATGTGTCAAACAACAATCCATGCATTAAGAACCCATTGTGCTTTAAGTCCCCAAGAGAACATGCTCATTAATGACTACCAATTCAAATTGTTGAGGCTTCTGAATGCTTAATTATGACATTTAGAATAATAATAATAAACACATACAGGATGAAAGCAGTCTCTATGTTTATCTTACATTTGTCTTAAGTGCATGTTTCATGAGTATACAACTTTGCAGATTTGATACACCATAAATTTGTTAATATTGTATTCAAACGATCGATAGGTTCGAAAACAAGGTTTTATTGCATTTTTGTCTATCAATTTCAAAGGCAGAAACGAAAATACAGCGGAGGCGGAGCCATTATATACAGAGGCTCTCCAGTCTCCGTGGTCGGCTGCACACGTTATTGGCAAAGCAAACCAAATCTTTACCCTTTTTAACCCTCAGACATTCTCCTTTCCTCAATTAGTAATGTCCATTTGTACACTGTTCTTTCCTTCGTATGACTGGGGATTAAAATAAACTCTTTTCTCTTTCAACAACGGAAATGTGACAAAGGCCATTTATCATGTTTATATCACAAATTGAGGTCAATATTCAGTGAGAAAACGATGAGTGAAACATGCTATTTCTTCAACTGTGTTTATTGTTTACATTACGGTACTCATCTCATTTATTTTGTTTAAAATATACAGTGACACAAGTTTATAAGTTGCCAGTATCATGAAATGTGAATGTTTCTCGGAAGATGAATTTGATTTCTGAGGAAGATTTACCCCTACATGTTTGAACCTGTGACTGACAACCGTGACCAAAAAAAATCAGGATGATCCCCATCTTGCACGAATGGATTACAAGTGATTGCAAAACACTGATTGGGTTTCATCATGGAATGTGTTCTGATCACACCCTAACAACAAGCACCGTTGCTAGGCTACCAACCACCGGATTACATTACAGATGTACACAAAGTTATATTTTGATGCCTCTCTGCGTGAAGTAGTGGTGTAACGATACAGCGATACAGTATTGTATCCCGATGCACAGCCCACGATACGATGCATCTATTTGGAAAGCATGTATTGCAATACATACGATATTTTCATAACACAGTTTTACTTACTTTTAAACATGAAATACGTTTAACAGTTTCAAACTGAACTTACTGAAGTAAACAAGTTGAAACTTGATAAACAGTATTTAATGTTTATGTTTATATTTTTTGCATAAAGTGATGAGTAACTTTTTCTTTCAGCCAGTTTGTATTTTTAGTAAAACATACTGTATTGCTGACAATTTGCTATAACAGTAAATAAACACCTTATATCTTCTTCAGCTGTACTTGTCACATCTTTTAGAGAGCAGAAAGACATCAACTTGGCTTAGCTCAGGGTTCCCCCCTAGACTCCAATATCTGAGAGTCACCTTGACTCAGCCTATGAATTTTTGGGAGTCAAAAATATTTTTTGAGAGTCAAATGCTTTATTGTATGATTAATGAAATTTAAAGTGTTCACTGTTAATGTTACACTTAAAGTTAAGTATCTTTTAAATATTATATGTCTTTAGTTTAAGTTAACAAGTGCTAATTAATGTTCTCAGCTGATTGTACTACAGAGAAATAAAGGATATATGAATGAAAAACAAAGTTTGTTGGTTTTATCTTTTCACAATCTTTAATTACTTCACAGCTCATGAAACAATTTACAGTGACACTAATACAGGATGAATAAATAACATCAGTCCCAACTGTGAGACATAATTTTTAATCATGGATGGATATTAAAATACATTTCATGTCAGATTATAATCTAATACCACTAGCTCATTTACATCTTTTATCTAGTTATCTTGTATTATCTATCAACAGTGAAGTTGAATTGAAGACTTGTGAACACTCGTAATATTTTCTGGTTGAATACAGTTTATTAGCAACAACAAACACGCCTAAAGCTTTACATTTCGTATATACCATATTTATTCGCATATAATACACACTCGTGTATAATACACACCCCTAATTATGGGCTATTAAATCCTGAAAAAAAAATCTCTCGTGTATAAGACTTTTCTTCAGTCTTATTTCAGGCTGTCATGATCCGTCATCGGAAATAGCATAACAAATCTGAATTGAATTACGCAAGTTAATCCTGTTGTTACACTATCTGGTAATAAAAATGTGTTCTCTGTATATCTGACCTTATGTTTGTCATCTGTTTTATTAATTTTATTTAAAATTTCATTCAATAATGTTTACCTAAATTTCGGCAAAAACATGTGTCCCTCCGATACTTACAACTTGTGTTTACCCCGTTCCATAGGTTCTGCTTAACCACATACTGTAACCGTGCCAAATCACATTATTCACCGCAACAATGATAATATTTCTTCTGTTTCATTTTTTACGAGTCTACACATCTAGATAAACATATGTCATGGTTAACTTTTAGAGAGAAAATATGCCGAAACATGAAAAACCTTGTCCATTTGCGGAATTTTCCTTTGTTTACATCACGTGCTGTCATCGAAGCCACATGGAGTGTGAGAGTTACGTTCACTTTGATGCATAAATATATTTTGAAACGACGGTTAATTTAAAACTAGACGTAAATTTTAAGACGTTTGCATATATTGTCTTTCGGAAAATGTTTATAAATTAAGTTCAGGTGAGAAGTTGTAATATTTTCATTCCAAAGCTGGTAAACAACAACACAGATATTCTGGACGTATTTTTCCTTAATTGAGTGTCATATACGCAAGAATACTGCGTCAGGGGAAACCCTGTTAGCTTGTACCAGTAATCACGGTATCATGATACGTATCGTATCGCGACCTCCCATATCGTTACACCTCTAGCGTGAAGGCCTGTGGATGATGAATGAGTGAGTGAGTGAGTGAGTGATGCATGCAAACCAGCATACCTGATTCCAAAATGTCGAAAACAGAGAAAAAATTACGAGTTCCAAAAGTAGAAAGTATAGCAGCACCATTATATTGTTGTGTACATGTCATACATCGTGTCGTTTCTGAGCACCATCAAGTCAAGAACCGGTACTTCTGATGGAATATTTGTGTTCTGTGTGGGTTTTTCTTTGTACAAATCAAAATTTTCAAGTAGGTGGTGACAAAATGTAGCCAAATCCTTTTAGAGAGCTGACAAGTGACTGACTTTAGAACATGTGAAGCCTTCATTTGGACTGGGCGATGTGACCTTCTCTGGAGGTATCCTCATATCTAACATCTCTACTGCAGAGAAGCGGCAAATTGCTGGTGATGTAGATGTAATCATGGTAATACTGCTGGTGATGTAGATGTAATACTGCTGGTGATGTAGATGTAATATTGCTGGTGATGTAATATTGCTGGTGATGTAGATGTAATATTGATGGTGATGTATATGTAATATTGATGGTGATGTATATGTAATATTGATGGTGATGAAAATGTAATACAAAAAATACAACATTCACTTAACAACTCTCAAAGATACAACATTCACTCAACAACTCTCAAAAATACAATATTCACTTAACAACTATCAAAAATACAACATTCACTCAACAACTCTCAAAAATACAATATTCACTTAACAACTCTCAAAAATACAACATTCCCTTAACAACTCTCAAAAATACAACATTCCCTTAACTCTCAAAAATACAATATTCCCTTGACAACTTTCAAAAATACAACATTCTCTCAACAACTCTCATAAAATACAACATTCACTTAACAACTCTCATAAAATACAACATTCTTTCAACAACTCTCAAAATACAACATTCACTTAACAACACTGAAAAATACAACATTCACTTAACATTAACAACACTGAAAAATACAACATTCCCTTAACCACTGTTAACCATGTTAACAACTCTCAAAAATACAACATACTCTCAACAACTCTCAAAAATACAACATTCACTCAACTTAACAACTCTCAAAAATACAATATTCCCTTGACAACTTTCAAAAATACAACATTCTCTCAACAACTCTCATAAAATACAACATTCTCTCAACAACTCTCAAAATACAACATTCACTTAACAACACTCAAAAATACAACATTCACTTAACAACACTCAAAAATACAACATTCCCTTAACCACTGTTAACCATGTTAACAACACTCAAAAATTCAACATTCTCTCAACAACTCCCAAAAATACAACATTCACTTAACAATTCTCAAAAATACAACATTCACTCAACAACTCTCAAAAATACAACATTCACTTAACAACTCTCAAAAATACAACATTCACTTAACAACTCTCAAAAATACAACATACCCAAAAGACCAGATATCAAATAATGTGCTACCTACCACTACATCCACAACTCCAATAAACCTTCAGCTTTCACCAATCATTGCCACAGGGACACATGCACACATATTGACTTACATCATAACCATCATAACCTCACAGCATGTATACAACAGGATTATTATCTCCTTACCAGCCAGTATCCACAGAACATTGATGACGGTATTCCATCTGTAAGTCGTTAATTGTCTGAGTGTGTGTTGAAGGGAGAAGATCCC